TGAGTTTTTGGAGTTTGGCGTATGCCGATTCGGGTTTGATACCGGGATGTTTGGCGCCTATTGTGGAAGTTAGCATTTTAGAAGAAATTTCATAAGTTTGGCTTGAAGTGCATTTCAGTGTTATCGATGTCCGTTTGAGATTTCGAGACTGTGAATAGCTCCGTATGGTGATTCTGGAGTTGTGGGCGCAATAGTGAATTTGGAGGTCCGTAGATCATTTTGAAGTTATTTGGCTAAAGATAGAAAATTGAAGGTTTTGAGAAGTTTGACCGGAAGTGGACTTTTTGATATCAGGGTCGGAATCCGATTCCGAAAGTTAGAGTAGGTCCGTAATGTCGAATATGACTTGTGCGCAAAATTTGAGGTCAATCGGACGTGATTTGATAGGTTTAAACATCGGAAATAGAAGTTTGAAATCTTAAAGTTCATTAAGCTTGGATTGGAGGTCGATTCGTGGTTTTAGAGTTGTTTGGTATGATTTGAGGCCTCGAGCAAGTGCGTAACGTGTTTTGGGATTGGTTGGTAAGTTCGGTTGAGGTCCCGGGGGCCTCGGGTGGATTCCAGGTGGTTAACGGATCGAAAATGGAAATTTTGGAAGGCTGAGGTTTGCTGGTTGCTGTCATAACCGCATCTGCGGTTTTTGGATCGCAGATACAGGACCGCAGATGCGGCACTTCAATTGCAGAAGCGGTTTTGGGCTAGAAGAGAAGGGACTGCAGATGCGGTCATATTTCCGCAGATGCGGGACCGCACCTGCGGTAGAGGAATCGCAGAAGCGGAATGGGGCTGCTAGGCTGGGACCGCAGATGCGGTCATTTTTCCGCAGATGCGGGACCGCACCTGCGGTGGTGGAGTCGCAGAAACATAAGAGGGACAGCATGGTGAGGACCAAAAATGCGGTACTGGAACCGCACCTGCGGAACAGCAGAAGCGGTCTAGAGGCCGCAGGTGCGGAAGTAGCTGGAGGCGGAGGGGTTGTTTTAAAATCGGGATTTGGCCATTTTCTCTCATATTTTCATGGCTTGGGCGATTTTTGGGGAGCTTCAAGAGGGGATTTTCGTCATCAATGTCAAGGTAAGTCACTCCTACCTATTTTGAGTTAAATACATCAACTAAGTATGGATTTGAGACTATACCAGCAATGCTTACAGCCCTGTGCAAGATGTTGCTGATTCATGTCGGACTGGTGCTGCAACAAATGTTATTTTTGGCCTTGCCTTGGGTTATAAATCAGTGATCATCCCCATATTTGCCATAGCAGTCACTATATTTGTTAGCTTCAGCTTTGCTGGAATGTATGGTATTGCAGTTGCTGCCCTAGGAATGCTGAGCACTATAGCCACTGGTTTGGCAATTGATGCATATGGTCCCATCAGTGATAATGCAGGAGGCATTGCTGAGATGGCTGGAATGAGCCACAGAATCAGAGAGAGAACTGATGCACTTGATGCTGCAGGAAACACCACTGCAGCTATTGGAAAGGGATTTTCCATTGGTTCTGCTGCTCTCGTGCCTTTGGCCTCTTTGGGGCATTTGTCAGCCGAGCAGCAATTTCCACTGTAGATGTCTTGACACCTAAAGTATTTATTGGTTTGCTAGTCGGTGCCATGCTTCCTTATTGGTTCTCCGCCATGACAATAAAGAGTGTTGGAAGCGCTGCTCTTAAGATGGTTGAGGAAGTGCGCAGGCAATTCAACACCATTCCTTGTCTCATGGAAGGAACTGCCAAGCCTGACTACGCCACCTGTGTCAAGATCTCTGCAGATGCATCGATCAAGGAGATGATTTCACCTGGTGCTCTTGTCATGCTCACTCCATTGATTGTTGGAATCTTGTTTGGCATCGAAACACTTTCTGGTGTGCTTGCAGGATCTCTCATCTCCGGTGTACAGATTGCCATCTCTGCATCTAATACAGGTGGTGCCTGGGATAATGCTAAGAAGTACATTGAGGCCGGAGCCTCAGAACATGTAAGAACCCTTGGCCCCAAGGGATCTGATGCACACAAGGCTGCTGTGATTGGTGACACTGTTGGTGACCCTCTCAAGGACACATCCGGACCATCATTGAACATTCTTATCAAGCTGATGGCTATCGAATCGCTCGTGTTTGCTCCCTTCTTCGCCACTCACGGTGGTCTTCTCTTCAAGCTATTTTAAAACGAATGCCACTCCTATATCACATGAGTGTCTCACAAAATCTATCGCTCCCTTTCTCTTCGTTTAACAACCTTTCCAGCATTTTTCGTGTTTTTAGTCACTAGAATGTGGGTTGTGGAAGGAGAGATATTCACGACAATGAGTGTTGATGGTAAGGGTGGAATGTTTTTGCAGAATTCAGAAGAACATCAATATTCTTTCCTAGAGTAATTTGTATCAGTTTCTTAAATACCTTCTTGTCCTTGCCCGTTTCGGGTGTTAAAAAAAAGTATGGATTTGAGCATTTAAATTAGTATAAATTTGAGGTTTTGGTGGAAAACCTAGAAAATTAGTAATCTTGGAATTTAGCCACGATTTTGGGGATGAAATTAAGAGAAAATCATATAATTGAGTTCGTGAATTCATGGGTAATCTTTATTTCGAAAAATTTCGGATTCCGGGCACGTGGGCCCGAGGGCATTTTTGTCAACTTTTCGATCGGGGTTAGGAATTGCTATAAATTGGATTATAATGAGTACCTTAGCATATATTAATGGATCTACATAATTATTGGCTAGTTTTGGAGCGTTGTGCATCGATTCGAGTCTTCGGAAAGGCGTGGAATGCCAGTTATGGACCTTCGGAGCGAGGTGAGTCTCCTTTCTAACCTTGTAAGAGGGAATTGTCCCCATATGTGAAATAATTGATTATGTGCTCCTATTTGTTGGGGGCTACGTACGCACGAGGTGACGAGAGTCCATGCATAGCTACTATTATGCTATTGTCCGGGTAGTTAGGACCCAAAAGCATGCTATACTTGGATTAATTGTAAAGATACCGACATTTGAATTGCTTAAATCACATCGAATTAGCAAACGAATTTCTAAACAGATAAAACTTCATTTTTCTTAAATGGTTTAAAGAGGATTGTTTTCATTGGATAATTACTCTGCGTGGACTTCTTGATTGACTGTCTGTGTGTTATTTTTGGAACGGGCCGAACGCCTCGGCAGATTTAATAGATGCATCTATAGGCGCACCGTCGACCCTCGGCAAGTGCACAGTTTACATTTCTGTTGGAGCGGGTCGTCGACCTCGGCATGATTTGCGCATGCTTTTATTGCTGCTTGAACTTATTAAAGTTGTTATTGCCCCTTCATGGCTTGAGAATATTTGGAAAATAATGGAAAAGGAATTTGGGAAATTTCCCATAAAAGGAATAATAGTTTACTTGTTCCCTTCTATTTGATAAAAATCATGTTGGTAGAAATTCACGATTTAATGAACTATTGACATCATTATTGGACCACTAGTAAGTGTCGTAGTTAACCATCTCGTCTCTACTTCTTCGAGATTAGGCGGGATACTCATTGAGTACACGTTGTTTTCGTACTCATAGTACACTTCTGTGCATTTTTGTTGCACAGGTATATGTAACTCTAGCGGTCTACTGGGCATAGCAGCACGGATGAATCTGGGACTAGGTGAGCTGCATTATTCGAGACGGCCGCAGCTAGAGCAATCCCTTCTAGTACACGGTATTTACTTCCTGTCCACTGTATTCCGGACGGATGTTGTATTTTATTTCCTTGTCAGTAGATGATCATGCACTTGTGACACCTGGTTCTGGGATGGTTTGAAGTATTTTGTATTAACTGCTTATCATTTAAATTTGATTTGAGACTATTATCTTTTAAATCGCTAAATATGAAAGGAAAATCCTAGATTACAAAGTATTAAAACAAGATTTTGATTAAGTAATTTGGTTGGCTTGCCTGATAGCAGTGTCCGGCGCCATCACGACCCTTAGTGAATTTTGGGTCGTGACATCTCCGGCCTTGCTCCGGCATGCCATGGCTGTTCGAACCTGATTTTGACTTCTCTGGCTTAGATCAGTGACTTTTCCAATCCTTTATCACTACTTGGGTTCTTCTGAAACCCTAACCCTTCGAGGTTTCTCCGATTCTTTTAGATCCGTTGTACATTTGTGTTTTCTCTAAGGTTTTTAGCATTTTTCTCAAAGTTCTTTCAAAACCATTTCTTTTTTCGATCTAAGGTTTTTCTTTTGAGATATTTAAATGTTTCTCTGATTTTCTATTTCTTTTGTGTGTTTCTTCTATTGTATTTTCCTCTACTGTGTTTTTGTGTGTTTCTTCTATTGTGTTTTCCTCTACTGTGTTCTTGTGTGTTTCTTCTACTATATTTGCCCCTACTGGGATCTCGAGTGTTTCTTATTAAGTTTCCTCTACTGTGTTCTAGTTAAGTTTCTTCTAATACTTCTTAATATGCTTCCCCTACTGTTCTTATCAATTCTTTTACATTATGTTCTGTATTAGTCTCCTCTATTATGTTTTCTTTGGGCTCTTCTGCTATGTTTCGCATGTTACTCTTCTATCATGTTTCTCATGAGTTTCTGTTGCTGAAAGGAACATGTTAAAGGTTTCAGTTCTTTTCTGAGACCTCTAAACCTGTTTTGACTCAGTTACTTGTCCTCTCATATCTGCACTCAATTGATGGTAGAAACCCTAGAATTTTGGGGGGGGGGGGGGGGTTCTTCCAAGTTTGGAAACCATTGGCTATGTGATTTGCTTGAATTGGTTTTTATTTCAAAGCCCTAACTCTTCCAGACCTATTTCGAGTCTCTCAACTGAGTTTTGAAATCCTTGCTTTTCATGTGATTCTGACTTTTGCTAAACTCTTCTAAGGTCTTTTACAATGGATCTTTTGTATGCTACTAGATGCCACTTCTCTTCTACATTGCTGACCTATGTGACAACCATGTTCCTATAGTCTATTATCTACCGATTTTTGCAATGGCACGACATCTTCTTTCAACTTAACATGTTTGTATGCTCTTTATATGTGATGAACTTCCCTCTAAAATGGCTTTCAAGTTTGTGATTTGTTCAGACTTCTTTCTGAATATGTCTGATTGATTTCTTTCCTTGTTTGCTGATTTCCCTGTGATTCGGGTTAAGTTAAAACCTTTCTTAGTTTTTCTGACTTGGTTCATTCATAGACCAGTAAATCTCTGATCCTTGATTTACTGGCTACTAATTGATTTTCTTACCTTATTTATGCAACCGTGTATTTCAAAATTCTGCCCTTAAGTAATTTTTTTTAATGTATTTACCCCTAAGTGCCTACTTTGCACAAAAGGTTTGTTTAATTTCTTTCCTTAAATAACTTTTACAGTTTGAATCTGAATTCCTTAATTAAAGGAAATCTTGTGTGATTGATTCTTAATTGGTATTCAGTTCCTTAGCTGTTTTCTTACCTTATATTTGCCTGATTTTCACACTATAAATGCATTACTCTTTCATTAACACACGATCATCATACACAGTCTTTTCTGAACTCACACTTACACACAATAGTATTCTCTCTTCTTGTCTGCATTGTGGCCTATTTACAAGACCTACTGTTTTTCTCTATTTTTTCTTTGAAATTGGTATGTCCTGATTTAAGCTTTAAGCACTACAACAATGTGTTTATTTACTGCTTTTGTATCCATGTCTACTTACTATTTCTGTATGGTTCAACACTCAAATTAGCATGCTGATTTCTTTCTGCCTGTTCCTATTATAAATCCCTATTCCCCACCCCCTTGTGTGTTTAAGCTATGGATTGGAGCATGGCAATATGTAAGTTATTGCCCATGAATCAAACCTGATCCCTTAGGGATCCTAGCCTCTATTAATGTGTGTTTGGACAAGCTTATGGTATGCTAGCATTCTCCATTGATGGGCATGCCTATAGCTTGTCCTTTACCTTTTTCAATTTCCCTATCCCCCTAAACCCCTTATGTGTATTTATTTTCCTCTCTTTTTCCCCTATTCCCTCTCAGAATTCTGCTTCTGTACCTGCACTCTCTCTTAGTCTCTTAAGTTCTACTCCTCTCAGGTGAGTCTTGCCTTGGGACCCATGAGCTCCCTCTGAACTTAGACACATGAGGGCTGGCATTTCCACACTGCACTTGTCCCTATTCTGGTTTTAAATTTGGGTGTGAGCACTGCCCGGGGTCCTGTTGAGGCCCTTAGGGAACTCTGACACACTCAAGTTTGAGAAAGGCTTTGAAACAAATGGCATTTGAAGTGGTTTGGTCCATAACTCAGAAAGGAAGACAGGAATCTGTCTTCCTCTGATTGTCATTTTTCTTTCTTTCATTTTTCAATGTAATTCATTACTGGGGCTGGCTAGTGAAAAAGGGTTGGGTATTTATGCATGCAAAGGGTAGGACCATGCCTATAGGATTATTTATTTCTGCATATTCAATCATATTTAGAAATCATGCCTATAGGATTATTTTAATTCTGCATATTCAATCATATTTGGAAATCCTGCCTATAGGACTATCTTGATTCTGCATATTCAATCACATTTAGAAACCATTGTCAATGCCCCCTTACTCTAAAGGCGAAATCGGGTTTACGACATTCGGGCGGACAACTCTATTCCTTTTAGGAATTTGGAATTTTTGAGATTTAGAAGAGTCGCTACCTAATGATTAAGTGCATTAGGACACCAAGGAGTAAAAAAAAAAGAAAAGAACTAGAGAATGGGTAAGGGCTTGAAATTATCTCAGGGGGAAGGTGTTAGGCACCCTCCAAGATCCACTAATGTGGTTCCCGGCCATGCTAAAATCGTGACTTCAAAGCGAATAAACATACAAAACAACTTCCATATAACGATTGCAAGTAGGATTGTATAAATGTTAAATAAGCATGCTGAAGTTATGGAATAAGTGGTTTCATAGTCGTTTAAAGAATGTGTAAGTGCACAAAAATGGGGGTCAAGTAAATAATGCAAATAATCAGACAAAGAAGTAAAACGGGCGGAAGTTTAAAGAGAACAGTGTTGGAAATTCCAAAGAGGTTTGAATTAAAGTAAAATGCAAAGTTTAAAGAACTGAAAAAAACTAGCAGTTTAAAGGAAATAAGAATGTAAGCATATAAGGAGGGAGGGGGGTCCTAGGTTTGTAAATAACATGGATCATCCACGCAACACCCAGTATTCAATTATACGCGTGGTGTTATCACATGATCATCATCTCCATGTCTACCCTTTACCACCCCGTTAAGGTATTAAAGCGCGGAATAGTATCGTTACTTATTGCATGCTATTACCCGTACCGATCCTATCAGTATCAGAGACATTGAGACTACTAATCCTAAAAGGGGAGGGAATTGGAGCTTTTTCGAGTTTAACTAAGGCGACAAACAAGAAC